GATTCCCAACTGCTTCGTTTCAGTGAGGTTGCGTATCAATGCTATGAAAGCAGTCAATGACTCGCTTTTGTGTTTCTGTTGGTTGAAGGCATGGGCTTCAATCTTGTACCAGGAGCACATCTTTTATCCAAAGGAGTTAACCTCCAAGGGGAAATCAACGCCAACCAGATTTCACTCAGCAAAGGCAACATATAGCTTGGAGTAGCAGGAATTGAAAACAGAGTGTTCACTATGCAAGTTAAACAAATGGCCTTACCTGAAGATGCCATGGATTCTGATAAGTAGAAAAGGGTAGATTCCTTCCATGACGCTGGGGAAGCAGAACCTCAAGAAGCAGCATCTGTCAGAATCATAGTACAGCGGAATAGCATGCATTGAGTAGGATGAGAGTCCAAGTACATAACCCTAACTGGGTTGTACCCTTTAGAGGCTAACCCACTGGGGACTGAGAACAGAAGAGGAGCGGGTGGACCTCCAGGAGACAGAACCAGAGCCGAGACTGAAAGTGTAACCCTGTGACGACCGCTGAGTCTCCTAGTCGTCTGCCCAAGAAGCGTCTGAGTGCCCAGTGAGCACAACTGAACCTCGTCCTCCAAGCACAAGCCCCATGCCTGATGTACTGCACAAGTAACGTAGTTCCCTCTGCGTAGCCCGGTAGTGCTCATGGTGGTGCTTCCAGGGCGCAACGAAGCGCGCTAGGATGCTGAGAGGGTACGAGAGGTCAGGTCGAGTGCACGTCATCAGGTACATGAGGCAGCCCACAAGCTCTGGATATGGACCACTCGGCTCTACGGACTCGTCCGAAGGTGGAGCTGAGAGCGGATGGTTCGTAGGCAGAGGAGTGGGCTGTGGCGAGGAGAACTGAAAGCCGAAGCACTGAAGGACCTGCTGCACCATGTGTGACTGAGTCAGAGTGACGGTGCACCTTGCTCTGTCCCGGGTGATCTGCAAGCCAAGATAGCTACGCAGCTCACCCAGGTCAATGCAAGTGTGTCTCTTCTACAGCTCCGCCTTCACAAGGGCCAATGCCTCAGTGTCAGCAGTAGCAAAGACCAAGTCGTCGGCGTACACGAGAACGTAGAACGGCGGTAGAGAATTGTCGGTGCGCAGAAACAGCGACGGGTCAGCAGTCGAAGGAGCAAACCCAAGAGCCGCAAGCGTCGTCCTCAGTGTGTCGTGCCACTCCCGGGGCGCTTGGCGTAAACTGGCCGCCGGAGGCTCCACTGGGTACCTCTAGGTGCAGCACCTCCAGGCTCAGCACCCCCAGGCTCAACACCCCGAGAACCAGCACCTCCAGCGTCAGCACCCCCGGAGCCCACACCTCCAACGTCACCACCTCCAGTAGTACCGGGGTCCACAGCAACAGGCAGCAGAGGTGGCGAAGACGGTCGAGGCAGAAAGCCAGGAGGAGTCTCCAAGCGCGGGGAGCGGCGAGAGGCCGCAGTGTTGTCAGCACCAGGGTCACCCCCCTCAACCGAACCAGAGGAAACCTCCAAAGGCTCAACCAAGGGGGGTGGTGTGACCTGAGACACACCTGAGGGAGCAGGACGCGAGGGGGGGGTGGGGGTCTACCGGGGGGTAACTTGGAACCAGGAAGAGGGGCGGCGTGGGGACAGGAGAAGACACATGGGGGAGGAGACAGTAGTAGCAAACCGACTCGTCAAAGGTGACGTCCTGGGAGGACTGGACAAGACGCATGGATGGGTGGTAAAACTAACAGCCAGGCGCGTTGGTGGGAAGGCCAAGGAAGACGCAGCGAACAGCATGAGAGGAGAGCTTGTCCGCTGTAGTATCGCGGACAAGGGCCATCAAACCCCAGACCCAAAACGCTGACGCATCGCCAACCTCCCCCGTCCAATGCAGTGTAGGCAAGGTATCTGGCTCGGAGACACGGGGCCAGATGTTGAGCTGATGCGCGGCGTATCGGACCGCAAACGGACACAGATAATGGGGAGAAGCCGCATGGATCATGGAGGTGCGAGCAACCTCCATGACCAAGCCAATGCGGCGCTCAGCGATTTCATTATGCTGTGGGGAAGCCGGAAGCGTGAACGACGGGGTGATGCCCTCCTCACGACAAAGGTCCTCAAGGAGACCAGAGGAAAACTCATCTCCACGGTCAGAGTGCAGACGGAGTACCGGGAGGTCCTGACGGAACCGTGCGCTCAGCTGGCGACGAACAGCGCGGATCCAAGGGATCAGAACAAGACAGACGTCGCCCTTGCGCCGCAAGGGAAACACCATGGTGTAGCGCGTGTAGTCGTCGTCGACCAGCAGGAAGTAGCGCTCCCGGCCCGGCCCAGGGACGGGGGTGGGGCCCCACACGTCTATGTGGAGGGTCTGCAGAGGAGCAGTGGTCGGAGGGAACGATGAGGAGTGAGGAGCGGTGCGCTGCCGCCCCTCGATGCAGGGATTGCACGGCGGTGCAAGCGACGGCGGTAGTGGGGGCAGGGACCTCGGAAGGCCAGAGACAAGACAACGGGAGTGCATGCGACGCAGACGCTGCAGGGAGGGGTGACCAACACGATGGTGCCAGAGGAGGGATGGGTGCGTGAGTAACCGACACGAGCAAGACGCAGCTACCTGACCGCACGCACGAAGTGTGCAGACTCAACGTGCAGTGTATACAGGCCAGACCCAGGCCTCCGAGTGAACGTGGCGATGTGGTCGTCAGTCACTGAGTCCGAACAGATCGCCACCAGCTCGCACCCAGGAGTGGTGGTAGTGACTAAGTGATCCTGGAGGACAGCGTTACTCACCAAGTTCGTAGCGAACGAGGGGAGGTGGAAACCCGTGAGGTAACTAGAGGGGACTGCCGGACACGGGAGAATAGTGGTACCTCGTGCAACGACTGGGCCAGAGGAGGGGTCGGCCAGAGTGACAGGGACAGGTGTGGTGAGTGGTGTGACTATGGTGCCGTCGCGAAAGAAGCAGTGAGACGCGCCTGAGTCTAGCATGAAGGTGAGCAAAGCCTCCGCCGGAACTGCACCTGTGCTAGCAGACTCAGAAGCGCCTAGACTAGTGCCTTTACACCACCAGGGACGCGTCGCTAGGACACCCACTCCTGAAGCTGCTGCGGCGAGAGGGTCTCCGACTGACACTGCTGCCGCTGATGTCCACCCCTAGAACCTCTGCCCCTAGAACCTAGCCATGTACTTGCAGACGCAAGCCATCACCACATGTACTTGCAGATGCACAGGTACCTACACTAGCCATCTCGACCAGCTGCTGCACCTCCTCTAACAACGGACGTCACTGCCGCAGTGGCCGGGTGGCAGGAGAGAGGGAGGAGCAGTGTCCGACTACAGTGTCGTAAATAGTCTGAGCCGACGTCACCTGACGAAAGCGGGCTTTCTGGTCGACCGGCAGATGAGCTCGGACGGCAAGCTGTGTGACTGCGTCGCGCTCCGTCCACCGTGTGCCGGCAACGGAGTCCGCCCGGTACCGCCAATGCAAGTCCTCGCCATCGTCAACAGCAGGCTCAGTGAGAGTCGAGGGGGCCTGAAGGGACCGCGAAGTGTGCTCGAGCAGGGAGACGCTATCGCTAATGAAACACCGGAGATACACGGGCAGGCACGCAAGCCACGACCATAGCTGGAATGGGCGTCCGTCTGCATCAACTGCTAAGACAGTGACAGGGGCCTTGACAGGCAGCGGCGCAAGGGCGGCAGTAGCGACTACGGCGGACGCAGCTGTGACGACAGTTGCAATGGTAGCAGTATTAGAGGCTGCGGCTGCGGCGGCTATAGCAGTAGTGGTAGCCGCTGTAGTGGCAGGTGTCGTGGCTCCAACAGCAGTAGCGGCTGTTGCAGTGACTGCAGCAGCAGAGGCAGCAGTTGTAGCGGCAGTCGCGGCGGCCGCGGCGCACTGGCAGATCAGGGCGCGCAGGTGGCGTAAGGCAGGGCGCGCGGGGCAGGGCAGGGCGCGCGAGTAGGGCGGGGCGCGCGGGCAGGGCAAGGTAGGGCGCGTGAGGCAGGGCAAGGCGCGTGGGCAGGGCAGGGCGCGCGGGCAGAGCAGGGCGCGCGGCTGAGCAGGGCTCGCTTGGCAGCGCGGGCAGCGCGCGTGGCAGAGTAGCGAGGCGCGCAGGGCAGCGAGGTGCGCAACGCGCAGGGCAGCGGGGCGCACGACGCACGGAGCAGCGGGTCGCGCAGTGTTTGCTTTCTTGTTTCGCTACGAAAGCTGTTTGAACATTAAAATAATAATGCGTAGTCATGGAAGACTGCTTGAGGAATGTTACCTGATTCTAATCCGTCAAACCATGGAGAACACGTTAGCATTACACACGATGCTCAGCTGTTGCGCGCAAATTTGGTCTGCCCAATTTCGAAAGCCTGCCCAATTGCATTTGGTACCAGCCAGTTGCAGCCACTTTACAAGCCCTCGGAGAAAGTTGACCACGGAAGGCGATTTGTCAAAATGAGAACGTGTAGAACAAAACGGGCTCAGTCACCCGAACAATCGGCGTACAACAAATAATGCCAACCCACACTGTTCCAGAAATATATAACGTGTTACTCCTATTTGTTTTTACAATCCCATTTGCGTGTAGGCGAAATGAACTAGTGCTCGCGATATGCAGTGCTCAGTACAGGCCCAAAATGACGAGTAACCTTGTGGGTCTGTAACGGGCATCGGTGTAGCTGGAGGCTAGTGCCGACTTCTCACCCGCTCAGGTCACTCAAGTCGCGCGCTCTCGTCGCGCACAAGCGTCACCCGCTCCTGCGACGGGCTCTCGTCGCCCACTCCCCCCCCCCTCCCCTCCCCCCCTTTCACTCACTTCTCGTTTCACTCACTGCTCGCGTCGCTCACTCCCTGCCGTGACTCACCATAGCGTCGTCAATCACGCGTCACACGATCTCGCATCACTCACTCGACGCCCTCGCTTCCCGTCCCCGTCGCCCTCGCTTCCCCTCCCCGTCGCCCTCGCTTTCCCTGCCATCGCCGTATCCCTCGCCCTCGCTCCCTCTGCTCGTAACCCTCACCTCCCCCTCCATCTAAGGATGGTCGAATCGGCTGGACTATTCGCGGATTACCTCGCGTCGCTGCCGGCCGCGCAGCTCGACCGCCTATACTCCTCCCTCTACACGTGCCAAGCCGTGCTCAGGTAAACGCTTCTTTTAACAAGCGTGAGTTCTACTGCCGTCCAGCTGCCCAGCGAGTCCGAAACACTCATCATGAGGGGTTGGCATTGAACGGCTCGAGTCGAGGTGATGGGGACCCGTTTCCATGCTCCTCCTTTCCTCGTTCCCACTCGTTTCGCTGTCTCCTCCTAATTGGCCTCCCTCCTCATACTCTCCCAGCATCCGAGGTTCCTTCTTCCACGTCTCTTCCCCCCAGCAACGGACCTTCTCTTCCCCCCAGCAACGGACCTTCTCATCGACCCGTGCCTGCTGAAACCCTCCCTCCTCCCACACTAACCCCACCTGGGCCTCACACTCACCCCCTATCCCCCAGGTCCATGCCCCCGCTAACCAAGCAATTCATGCTGCAACTACTCTTTCTCACCGACCCTGTGCCTGCCACACTCATCCCTCGCCCCTTCCCCCTTCCGTCTCACTCACCCTTCCGGCCTTCCACTCACTCGCAGGTCCCTGCCCCCACTAGCCAAGCAGTACGTGCTGCGCCTGCTCTTCCTCACAGACCCTGTGCCCTCCGCACTCGTGGCTGATTGGCCCAAGCCCGAGGCTCACAGCAAGCACAAGGCGGCCCTTGATCGGCTGCAGCAGCTGCGCCTGCTGCTGGCATGCAGGTACGGCTAAAAATCACATTGCTGTGCTCTGAAATGCACTCTCAGGTGCACTCTCAGGTGCACTGACAGCATAGCAGGATTGGCTCACAGCAAGCATAAGGCGGCCATTGACACATTCTGCAGCAGCTGCGCCTGCTGCTGGCATGCAGGTGGGGCGGGTGTGAGGAGGAGGGTGACGGAATTTGCTTGTTGCTGTACCGTTGTGAGTGGTTTTATTGGGCATGCCGGCATGAGAAAGCACTAGGTGCCTGCAGCTCCACTAGGTGCCTGCAGCTCCACTAGATGCCTGCAGCTCCACTAGATGCCTGCAGCTCCACGTGTTGCTGCCGTGCCGTGCAGGTAGGGCGGGTGGCAGAAGGAGTGATGTTAATATTTGTTGTAATGCTGTGAGTAACTTTATCGGGGCCCTCAATGCCGTGGTTGTAGCAGCTGCGGCTGGGCTGGGCTGGGCTTCTTTCTTCGTGCTTTCCCATGCCATGCCATGCCATGCCGGCATGGGAAAGCACGGGGCAGCCCTCCACAGGCTGCAGCAGCGGCACCTGCTGCTGGCTGCGTCAGGTAGGGGCGAGAACTCACAGGTGTTGACCTATGGCGCATTGGTCCTATGGCGGCGCGCATTAGGTGCGTCTCTTCACTGGTGTCGCTGCTCGCCATAACACCACCAACACTGGTTCATGCTGAGGTGACTGGCTTGCTGGGTAACTGGGTTAGGGAGCTAATATGGTATCACTAGTATCACTCGTATCATTGGTTGCTTGCAAGCGAGCATGAAAACTGGTTTCTGGTGACGCTGTTGCATGCTTGCAGGAAGTGTTACGGGTTTATGGTAACGCTAATCCTGGTTTGCACATATAATCGAGGATTAGAGCAAGCGCAAGTTGGTCGGCTCTTGTCAAGCTGCAGTGTAGAAGCTGCAGTGTAGAAGCTGCAGCAGGTATGGTGAAATCCCTTTTGTCACTTGTGTTGAGAGTTCTCGAAAGTGATTTCAACATGGCTCTTCCTTCGCCTTTTCTCCTTAACTATTCCCTTCTCCCTCCCTCTCCTCTTCTCACTCCCCCATCATCCCCTCTCCCCGCTCCTCCATCCAACCCCGATGCAGCAAAGCAGGGTTCCTGACAGCATCGGCACCATCGTCAGCATCAGCAATGTTTAGTCGGCTAAAGTCACCCGCCCTCCCCCCCCGCCCATCCATGCACTCGGCTAAAGTCACCCGCCCTCCCCCCCCGCCCATCCATGCACTCGGCTAAAGTCACCCGCCCTCCCCCCCCCGCCCATCCATGCACTCGGCTAAAGTCACCCGCCCTCCCCCCCCCCGCCCATCCATGCACTCGGCTAAAGTCACCCGCCCTCCCCCCCCCCCGCCCATCCATGCACTCGGCTAAAGTCACCCGCCCTCCCCCCCCGCCCATCCATCGCACGTGCAGCGAAACCGGGTCGCTGACAGCATCAGGATCGTCGTCGGCACCAGCAGCATTCCGCCTGAACCCCACCTTCCAGCAGCAGTTGCAGCAGGCTCTCACGTCAGGGTGAGTCGCTCATTGCACGGGGCGTGTGCCGCATGACATGCCTTACATTGCATGGGGGACACACGCATGTGAGCGTGAGAGGCGTGCAGTGCACTCATGTCACGGTGTGTGCATGGCTGCTGCAAGCATGGCACGGAATTATCTTCTCCGTGCCTTCTTCCATTTCGCCTGCCGTCTGCTTCTCCCTCAGTTTTTCTCCCTCCCCCACGCCTTCTCTCTGTTTCAGTGTGCCCGATCTCGTCAGCGCGCCTGCCGCCTGTGGCCGTCCCCTCCACACCCCCCGAACCCCCCCCTTTCTCCCCAAATTTTACCCCTCCCCCCGCTTTCTCACTGCGTCATGGCGCCCTTGTTGCGTCCCAGCGTGCCGGCCTCTGTGCCTTCTCACACCCCCCCTCTCTGATCCCCCCCTTCTGTGCCTTCCCACACCCCGGATCTCTCCCCCCACCTCTGATCCCCTCCTCCCCCCCGCCTTCTCACTGCTGCAGAGCGCCCGTCTCTCGACCCAGCGTGCCGGCCTCTGTGGCCACGCGCCTGCCATCTGCTGCTGAGCTGGCAGCCCATGCCACGAGCCACTGGGAGGTGAGGGATGCGCGACAAGCCAAAAAGAGGAAGAAAAGTGAAGGGACCTAGTTGTGTCCCTTGTTCTGTATGCCCGCTTGTAAGAACACGCGAATTTCCCCCTCCCCCTCCTTTCCCTCCTCCCCCCTCCTCCCTCCTTACCTTTGCCTCTTTCTTTCACCCTCCCTCGTCCTTTCCACCCTGTCCCTCCCATCTCGTCCCCCCAGGCGGTCCTCATGCATCTCATATCGCCGCCATCCATAGCGGGGGGCCACGGCGCTGCTGTCAGCACACGAGTGCTCATACGAGCTGGCCTCCTCACCCACTCGTGAGTGCCACAGCCAGCAGCCCAGGGCAGAGGAGGGGATCGGGTGCTGCTGCTGTAATCACACGTGTGCTTGTACGAGTGCCCCTCCTCACCCACTCGTGAGTGTTCCTCATTTATCGACCGAGCTGCCCGAATCAGTACCAGCAGCACAGGGCAGGGGAGGGGGCGGAGTGCTGCTGCTGTCATCATGCGTGTGTGCTGTGCTCATACAAGTGGCCCTCGTCACCCTCTCGTGAGTTCGTTTCATCTATTCATCTCTGCAACACCACCAAAGCCAGTAGCACAGGGAGGGGGACAGGGCGCTGCTGCTGCCATCACATGAGTGCAAATACGAGCGAGCCTCCGCGCGCACTCATAAGTGCCTCTGCTGCTGCTGCTGCTAGTGCAGCTGCTCCGCCGCCGCCACTGCTGCTTCTGCTGCCGCCGCCGCCGCCGCCGCCACTGCTGCTGGACCTCCAATCCACCTCCACGTGCCTGCTCCATCAATTCTTGGCCAAGCCCAGGACGATTTGAGAGTCAGAGTGGCAAAGGATGAGAGAGGCAGAGGATCAGAGAGGCAGAGGATCAGAGATTCGAGGGTGAGAGGCAGTGTGAGCATCTCTCAGGTACCCGGAACCGCTCCGCATCCCTTCAAAGGTAATTATTGGGTTGAATCAAAAGCCTTAGTTGGACGTTACGCGTACGTTTACGCTACACACGTTGTACATTGCGTGTGTGGATCTGAAATTTGTTAACGTTCAAGAATTCTTTTGGGTTGCCTGACAACGGTGTAACCTGTTTTCGGCTGTGGAATATGTTGCTTCTTTCACAACCATAGGGTGGCACAACAATAATATCTAAACCACCACCCAAATATTTTGTGGTGACAGATTTCATTTATGCAGTTTTTTCAACCCGACCGCGCTTTCCCCCCATCTCCCGCTCACACTAGTGCCACATTTTTTTATCTCACTTCCTGCCTCTTGTTCCACTCTCGGAGTCGATGGCCCTGGTCGGCAAATTTGTTTTTCCTGCCCGGGTATATGCTACGCTTATTCACGCGTGCGTACGCGCATGTTTACCTTTACGCGTAACACTGCGATTACGTGGGGTCCAAAAACGTTCGGACCCAAAACCACTCCCTACCCCCTCCCTGTTGCTCCCTTTTCCTGTCGTTCCTCCCCTTCTCCTCCTCCACCACCTCCTCCCCCTCTGACCCATTGTTTCCCAGGGGATCCTCTCTCTCAGTCGTGTCAACCTCTGCCTTCCCCTTCCTTGTACGCGTCCTCCATATGACCTCTCTTCTTCTTTATGGAACTTCGAGCGTTTAGTTTGCATTGTCGCTCTCGCTGTCGCTCTCGCTGCGCGATTCGCTGTTTTCTTCGAGCACAAAGCCTTCTTCGAGCACAAAGCCTTCTCTCGCTCCGCCTTGTGCTTCCTCTGGTTCCTTTCCTCAAGGGCGCCGTTGCTACTTCTCGTTTGTTCTGGAATTATCCTTCGACTTCTTCTAAAAATGCATCTTGTTTGATGTGTGTGTGTGCGTGTCTGTGTGTGTTGCATGGCACGGGCACGGGCAGCTCAAGGATCGGAACGAGCAGCTGTGGGCGATAGTGTCAAGCTACATTGAGTCGGCCCAGGTCAGTTAGCTGGGCCATCGCGAGTCAGCCAAGTGAACAAGTAGTCGGAACAAGTCGGTTGTGGCGAGCTAAGTCTGATCAGCTCTTTGCAGGCCTGATGGCTCATCGTGCCTCATTGCTATGATGTTCGCTCGTTCTGACGGTCTCATGTCTGCTCGGGTCTGTCCTGCCCCAAATCAATATGTGATTGCAACAAATACCTCCCCTTTTATTGTCACCAAGTAAGAAGTGACAGTGTAACAAGAGTAGCGTTGCTCCTTTGCGTAATACTGTCCTCCCACAATCTCTCCCACCCCCCTCCTTTGACTTGGCAGGCAGGCTCAAGGCCACGACACTGGGGATGCGATTGTGGGGCAAGTTGAGGCAGCTCATTCGCGCTCCCTCCTCCCTTTGTTCCCGATATTCCGTCGTTCTGTTCTCAATACCGTCTCCCTCGTCTGCCACCATGCCTCCTGCCCTCACTGCCTTCCCTATTACATGGCATGGCATGGCATGGCATGGCATGGCATGGCATGGCATGGCATGGCATGGCATGGCAGGACCGAGGGCATGACAGTGGGGATGTCATCGCCTTCCTGCTGGAGCTGGGCTTTCACAACATAGGCACGGTACGGTTACAACTTAGGCACGGTACAGTTACAACTTAGGCACGGTACGGTTACAAACGTAGGCACGGTACAGTTACAACTTGGCACGGTACGGTTACAACTTAGGCACGGTAATGTAGGCACGATATGGTTATAAACGTCGGCACCGTAAGGTTACGAACAACGTAGGCACAGTTCGCCGTTACAACATAGGCACTGCACGGTTACAACTTACGCGCCACAACATAGGCACGTTATAGTTACAACTTAGGCACGGTGCGGTTTGTGTACATAGTATAGTACGGTTACAACAGTGGAAGCTGGAACGGTATGGTTTCACACAGGCATAGTAACTCAGATGTCACCACCAGTAACAACTTAAGCATGTGTATGGCACAAAAAGCCCTGATGTTATTATTTACAAGATTCTTACACCAGTATTCGTGTGATAGTAGCATGGGCTGTACTGTACTCGTCCATTACCACTGGTTGGTTGCTTGTATGATGGTAGGTGCGACTGTCGTGGTAGCGAATAAGAGTCCTTCCATTTCCTCAAGAGTGTGTATGTGTGTCGATGCATGCACGCATGTGCATGTGTCTCAACACGCATCCATGCCCCCATGGCCCCTTCCACTCATCCCCCCGCGCCCCGAGCAGCCATACAGCATGTCAACGCTGACAAGCATGCAGCAGGAGGTGGTGGAGGAGATCGCACAGCTGGGCTTCGTGCTCACTCAGAAGGTGCGCTGGGTTGCTTCATGGGTGCACAAGGTGCGTGCCAACTCAGAGGTGCGTGCCAACTCAGAGGTGCGTGCTAACTCAGAGGTGCGTGCCAACTCAGAAGTGCGTGCCAACTCAGAGGTGCGTGCCAACTCAGAGGTGCGTGCCAACTCAGAGGTGCGTGCCAACTCAGAGGTGCGTGCTAACTCAGAAGGTGCGTGCTGACTCAGAAGGTGCGTGCTAACTCAGAGGTGCGTGCCAACTCAGAGGTGCGTGCCAACTCAGAGGTGCGTGCCAACTCAGAGGTGCGTGCCAACTCAGAGGTGCGTGCCAACTCAGAGGTGCGTGCCAACTCAGAGGTGCGTGCCAACTCAGAGGTGCGTGCCAACTCAGAGGTGCGTGCTAACTCAGAAGGTGCGTGCTGACTCAGAGGTGCGTGCCAACTCAGAGGTGCGTGCCAACTCAGAGGTGCGTGCCAACTCAGAGGTGCGTGCCAACTCAGAGGTGCGTGCCAACTCAGAGGTGCGTGCTAACTCAGAGGTGCGTGCCAACTCAGAGGTGCGTGCCAACTCAGAGGTGCGTGCTAACTCAGAGGTGCGTGCCAACTCAGAGGTGCGTGCCAACTCAGAGGTGCGTGCCAACTCAGAGGTGCGTGCCAACTCAGAGGTGCGTGCTAACTCAGAAGGTGCGTGCTGACTCAGAAGGTGCGTGCTAACTGAGAGGTGCGTGCCAACTCAGAGGTGCGTGCTAACTCAGAGGTGCGTGCCAACTCAGAGGTGCGTGCCAACTCAGAGGTGCGTGCCAACTCAGAGGTGCGTGCTAACTCAGAAGGTGCGTGCTGACTCAGAAGGTGCGTGCTAACTCAGAAGGTGCGTGCTGACTCAGAAGGTGCGTGCTAACTCAGAAGGTGCGTGCTGACTCAGAAGGTGCGTGCTAACTCAGAAGGTGCGTGCTGACTCAGAAGGTGCTTATGCCAATCTCCCCACATCATGCCCTGACCGACTCAAAACCCGCATGCTGCCTTCCTCACATGCTGCCATCCCCGCATGCCAAAGGTCGTTAACCTCATCGCTGCATGCATCATCCTTACCCCTCACACCACACCACACCACACCACACCACACCACACCACACCACACCACACCACACCACACCACACCACACCGCACCACACCACACTGGACCACCTCCCCCCCCCCATCGCAGGGGAGGCACGACCAGTGGTTCATCCCAACGCACCTTGCAGCAGCTCTCTCCTCCAGCCTATCAGAATCTGCCACGTCAGATTCAGAGGTGAGCGAGCATCATCTTGCATTGCATTGCAGCATAGCATTGTGCTCGCATCTGGAGCTGTAACCACACCTCGGGCTTAAAGTTTGCAACTGGCCTTCACTTTCCCCCCTGCCGGCTCTCTCTTTCTTCTTTTCCCTCCTTTCTCCCTGTTTCCTCCACTCGTTTGCTCGCCCCCTCACTGCTGTACAACTTACCACTCAGCGCTTCAATGCGGTCAGCACACCAAGTGTAGAGATCATTGTATACCACACACTCTCTTTGTTCCACTCACTCACTCCCTCACCCGTCACCCATCTGCACCGCACCCTACTGGCCCCCTAGCGTGGCAGGGCTTCATAGTGGTGGAGACCAACTTCAGAGTGTATGCATACACGCAGTCCAAGTTGCAGGCAGAGATTCTCTCTCTCTTCATGCGGTACGTGTCGTCCCTAGATCATTGATGGATCATGAGGACAGAACTAGAAGAGTTGGTACGCAGTGTTCAGGAGAGGAGGTAAGTCCTCCTGCCGTTCAGAACTTAGTTGGTCATTTACGTCCTGAAGGCCCACATACGCGCAAACGTACATGTACTTATGCTTACTTACTCCGGGCAGGTTTTTTTTTTTTCTTAGTGTGGTTCTGACGTCGACATTCTGCTTAGGTCTAGATCGTAGTAGTGTTAGTAAAGACGTGATAAGACAGTACTCGTGTATGCTCATTAGGAGTAAAATGGAGCAGCACCGAAAAAATATTTTAGCTGACCTGACTACGGGCATAATCTGGGAGGTGCGTAAACGTAAAGAGACGTACACGTAAACGTAAGGAAGCAACTTAGGTTGAGAGTGTACGCATACACACAGTCCCTGTGGTACGCATACACACAGTCCCTGTGGTACGCATACACACAGTCCCTGTGGTACGCATACACACAGTCCCTGTGGTACGCATACACACAGTCCCTGTGGTACGCATACACACAGTCCCTGTGGTACGCATACACACAGTCCCTGTGGTACGCATACACACAGTCCCTGTGGTACGCATACACACAGTCCCTGTGGTACGCATACACACAGTCCCTGTGGTACGCATACACACAGTCCCTGTGGTACGCATACACACAGTCCCTGTGGTACGCATACACACAGTCCCTGTGGTACGCATACACACAGTCCCTGTGGTACGCATACACACAGTCCCTGTGGTACGCATACACACAGTCCCTGTGGTACGCATACACACAGTCCCTGTGGTACGCATACACACAGTCCCTGTGGTACGCATACACACAGTCCCTGTGGTACGCATACACACAGTCCCTGTGGTACGCATACACACAGTCCCTGTGGTACGCATACACACAGTCCCTGTGGGCAGAAATCTTGTCGCTCTTCATGAGGTATGTCTCGTCTCTGGATCATGGAGGGATATTTTTAGGCGCCTAAAGAAGACGTTTTATTTCAGGCGCACACAAACAGTCCAAGCTGCAGGCATAACTCTCTCTTTGTTCAAATTAACTTCCTCTCTCTCTGCAGCCCACCCGCATAGATCCCACATTCTCTTTGACGCCTCGCAGGTTGCAAACCTCAGCACAATGTTAATTCACCTTCTTGGGCCTTACCACATGAAGGGTTAAAAAACGTCGGCCCACATCACATCTTGAAAAGAAGAAGAAGAAAAGAGCACTCGTGTGAATGTGTGTACCTCATGGAGCGTGAGACTGAGAAGCAAATAACCCCAGCAGCTCCAGTCGCCCCTACCGGATCTGGTGGTGACTTCTGAGGCCACTCCTCGCTGCCTCTCCCTTCCTGCCTCTCCCTTCCTGCCTCTCCCTTCCTGCCTCTCCCTTCCTGCCTCTCCCTTCCTGCCTCTCCCTTCCTGCCTCTCCCTTCCTGCCTCTCCCTTTCTGCCTCTCCCTCTGCCCCTGCTTCAACTCTCGCAGGTTGGAGTATCGGCTGCCCAATCTGGTGGTGAGAGAGATGAGGCGAGAGAAAGTCAACGCCATGTGCCAGTTCGCAATGCCAGTTCGCAATGCCGCTCTCCCTCCCTGGCTCTGCCTCTCCCTCCCTGGCTCTGCCTCTGCCTCTGCCTCTGCCTCTGCCTCTGCCTCTGCCTCTGCCTCTGCCTCTGCCTCTGCCTCTGCCTCTGCCTCTGCCTCTGCCTCTGCCTCTGCCTCTGCCTCTGCCCCTGCCCCTGCCTCTGCCTCTGCCTCTGCCTCTGCCTCTGCCTCTGCCTCTGCCTCTGCCTCTGCCTCTGCCCCTGCCCCTGCCTCTGCCTCTGCCTCTGCCTCTGCCTCTGCCTCTGCCCCTGCCCCTGCCTCTGCCTCTGCCTCTGCCTCTGCCTCTGCCTCTGCCTCTGCCTCTGCCTCTGCCTCTGCCTCTGCCTCTTCCTCCCCGCCTCTCACATCACCCCATGCAGGCTGGAGTACCGCCTGCCTAATCTGGTGGTGGGAGCTATGAACCGAGGTGATTTCTGAGTCCACTCAAAAGTCTCCTCTCTGCCCTCTGCCTGCCTGCCTCTCCCCTCACCCCTCGTAGGCTGGAGTAAAGGCTCCCCAATCTGGTGGTGGGAGTGACGAGCCGAGATGACTTCTGAGCCAACTTAAAAGTCTCCTCTCTGCCTTTGCCCCCTCGCTTCGCCCTCTTCCCCTGCTTCAACTCACCCCATGCAGGCTGGAATACCGGCTGCCCAACCTGGTGGTGGGGATCATTAACCGAGAGACTGTCAACAACGCGCTTGCTCTCGGCATCGTTGCGGAGCAGGTGGGGTCCTCAGGTGGTTTCAGCAGAGCAGGTGGGGTCCTCAGGTGGTTTCAGCAGAGCAGGCGGGGTCCTTAGGTATTTCAGTCAAACTGGTGGAATGTTTGCATTTCCTTTAACGACAACACCTGTGGACATTGCTCAATGAGGGGAAGTTTGCGGGGTGATGTGTGTGTGGCGTTTACAATTACTGTACGAGCAATCCCACAGCCGCACCCAGTGGCTGGTCAAATCAGCCAGCAGTACACTCTTTGTCCACACGCAATACACGATTTTTTAAGTGCCTCAGAAATACACTTGATGCCCCTTTTACCTCCTTTTTTTCAATAGCACTTTCGCCTCACTCGCTTAAACGGTGGGTAAGGGCAAATCGGGTTTGAACGAAGCATTGGGGTTACCTCCTCAGCTGCAGATTCCACCCATGCTCCTACATGTCTCCCCCTTTTCACTCCCTTCCCCCAGTTCTGCCCCATTCCGCCCTCACAGGTAGTGTACTACGTTCAACCGAACCCACATTCAATCCCCTTACGTCGCCCCCTTCTCCACCCCTGCACATGGTGCACATGGTGCACACGAAACACCAGATGGTGCAGCTTGCCGCAACTATGCCCTTGAAATGCTCAGCCAACCACCCCCCCTCCTCTTCCTCTCTCCCCTTTTCGCTCCCTCCAAACCACCAGATCGTGCAGTACATGCGGACGAACGCTCATCTAAGCTCTAATTCCTTCGGCCCCCCACCCCGCCGCCTCCCTCCCCTCCCCTCCCCACAACCACCACAGATAATGCAGTACAGTCGAAGAACACTCCCTTCAGCTCTAATTCCTCCCCCCCCCCCCACTCCCCCTCCCCTCCCCCCCTCACACCACCAGATAGTGCAGTACATGCGGAAGAACGCTCATCCTCTGGTGGCCACGAAGCCCCCTGTGGTGCCCGAGACAGTGGTGGACCAGGTGCTGTGCGGTGCTGAATGGTTCTGAATGGTGCTGAATGGTGCTGTATGGTGATGTGGGGTGCTGTATGGTGCTGTATGGTGCTGTGTGGTGCTGTGCGATGCTGTATGGTGCTATGTGCTGTGCGGTGCTGTATGGTGCTTTATGGTGCTGTGTAGTGCTATGTGGTGCTGTGTGGTGCTGTGTGGTGCTGTATGGTGCTGTATGGTGCTGTGTGGTAACGTGTGGTAATCTATGCTGTGTGGGAGTGTGGGGTGCATGATGTATCATACCGTCTCATGCCAGGTCAAATCTAGTTACACCATCGGGCGCCATTAGATACCCTCTCATAATATCAAATACATATTACACTGTTCCATACTACCAATTACCATCGAATACTCATTTTTCCATCACATTACATCTCATTATGAGCAATTTTCCCTTAATTTTCAGATTTTCAACCCTATTGTCAAACCCATTCAGCTGCCCATTGCCCCTAATAATTCGCCTCTCCTTCGTATCACCCCCTCGCTGCTCCGCTTCCCTATGTGTGTCAGATCAGATCCTGCTCGTAAAACCCGTTGAAGAACCCATTTCCTATGTGCACATTCTCTCTCGTATCACCCCACTGCTGCCCCGCTGCTCTGTGTGTGTCAGATCCGCCTGTGGGAGTTTGATCGCAACCGAGTGGCCACCACTGCTGCCGTGCTCTACGACGACTTCCCCACTCAGGTGATTTCCCAGGTGATTCCACAGGTGATTCCCCAGGTGATTCCAACAAGGTTAGCCCACCCAGGTGATTCCAACAAGGTGAGCCCATTCAGGTGATTCCAAGTATGTTTTGGGCGGCTGTTTTCACCCGGTGAGTTATGTCCATTGTTGAGGCAGACTAGCATTTCCCAGACAGTCGAGTTTTAACAGCACGACACGCGGAGGAGTATGTAGTAGTGAGTAAGAATAAGAGTTTTGCATATCAGTTTGCACACGCGTTCATGGATCCGTACATGGTACACCTATCGGGGTACAATATGCCAACATCAGACAATTCCATCCTTACTATGTGGTTCTCCTCTTCCCTCCTTAACCAAGTGAATATGCACCCATGCTTTCCTGATCGACATGCCTTTGTGATGCTTTGCAGGAAGTGTTTGAAGCCATTGTACGGCATGCGCAGCAGATTAAAGCGTTGCTGTGGAAAGACAACAAGAAGAGAAAGTTTGTTGTTCGTGCAGATGCACACGAGAGCGTGCGTACGTTTATTCGCCACCTCGGCAGCAAGAAGAAACGACGTAGTGACGCGTAGTTTTTGTAGCAAAATCATGACGAACTACCTAAGACAACTTTCCGCCCCAGTGCCGTCCAAGTTTTATCTAAGAGCAGGATTCAGAGTTGAGCTTACATGTTTCCGACTAGGGTTTGGTCCACAAGGTGCGTAGATAACACAAATTGTTGGAAATATATGAGAATACTGAGTACAACACCAGAAGAACAAACTAGGTTTTGAAGGTCATGCACGTGAATCCGATATCATCCAAACTCTATAGCGAAAATATATGAATTTCATTTTCGGGTTTTGCTGACGTCACCTAGAACTACCCCGCAACCCCCGGGAAATGAGAAAGGCCACGAAGTGCGTAGGAAACAGATACGGGTAAGCATGCCATTCCTCGAAGCTTCATGGTTTCCAAATTGGAAGCATCTCGATCATTCCCGTTCTCGCAGCCATTACCACCATGGTCTGCCGAGTCAGCCGACATGATCACGACACGACGAACCATAGCCTGCCACACCACCTAACCATGACGCCTCGTGGTCGTGGTGTGCGGTGATCAACCAGTCCAGGTCGCCTGAACGCTCTCGACCATCTCGACCACACTGTACACTCGTGCACGCGTACTTACTCCAGCTGACATCATCTCAGTCAGCTAGTAACGCTTCGCATTGCAACCCTCTTCGCGCCTGCTAAGCTCCTAGCGGCAGATCCAGCTTGCGCGAGTCATCATGGCCTCGGCCACGCCCAACCCGCTCCTCACGCCGTTCACTCTCCCGGACGGCACGGAGCTCTCAATGCGCATCGTCTACGCGCCGCTCACGCGCGATCGCGCCGTCGGGACTATCACGCAGCCGAACGCCGCGATTTACTACTCGCAGCGCGCGCACAAGGGCGGGCTCATGCTCACCGAAGCCACGTGTATCTCGCCCGAGGCGCACGGGTACCCCGACGTGCCGGGGATCTACACGGACGCGCAGATCGCGGCGTGGAAGCCGGTGATCAAGGCGGTGCACGACAAGGGCGCGCTCTTCTACTGCCAGCTGTGGCACGTCGGCCGCGCGTCGCACCAAGGTGAATCCCTTCTGCTTATCCTTCGACGACGTCGACCAATCGCATTGGGCAATGTGAATCAGCAGCCGAACATGACGCGTTGAGACGGCGCCGCTACCATTGCTTCTTACTTGACGTCGGCAATCATCGCAGAGCCTGCTGTTGTCGTGCATGGTAAGCCTGACGACGAATTACCTCGAATTGGCGAATTTCGCGTCGGTTTTCTCGCGTTCTCTTTCGCTAAATCGTTCACATTGTCCTCATCCTTCGTTCTCCTCGCATCGTCCCTCGCCGTACCAATTCCCGTACCATCACAATGCGTACCGACCCGGTATTATCCTCAATCCTTCTTTTTCGCCAACTGTCGTTCCTCGCTGCTCCGTCCTCTGCTCCTCATTATTCCCCTGCCACTTCCCCCCCCCCCCCCCCACTGCGCGCCGAGCAGATTACCAGCCTGATGGCTCTGCACCGATGGCGCCGTCCGCCATTCCTATCAGTAGCGGGGACAAAGTGTACATCAGCACTGGCCCCGCCGACTATCCCACGCCGCGGGCCATGACCGCTGAAGAAATCAAGGAGGTATGACGTGAGCGCATCACATGGCAGGGGAGACACCGCGCTGGTGCTCGTTGCATGACGTGAGCGCATCGCATGGCTCTATTACTTCCGCCGTCGCTGGTCCTGCTCGTTCCACTTTACTCTGGCGAATCCAGGCGACCGAGCGGTACCGCGCGATCGAGAAGCACCGCGTGAGCAGCACCGTGCGGGTGCGCACGCAGTACGTCACAGAATTTGGTCGGAAAACAATGTTTAGGGTTAGTTCGAACAGTTCTTGAGGTACCTCTCGGAAAACCCTAGTATTGCGCGGCTGCGCGCCAGAGTTTCTCCTCACTCTTTCCTTTTGACCCATCTCCATTGTTCACCTTTCCATCATCCCAATTCCCGACACGGGTGACACCAAGCGATCGAGCAGTAGTACCGCGCGGCCGTACGGCCTCCAGTTTCCCATTTCATGCTCTTCCATCTGCTCCTTTCTCTTCCAGCATCCATCGCAGGCATCCCAGTTCCCTGATCCCATCTCTGATCACTTTTATCTTTTATCCATCTCGAATTCCATTGTTCGAATCATCGTTCCAGGTGGTGGAGCAGTACCGCGTCACGGCGAGGGGTGGTATCCCCGTGATGCTCTTCCACTATCCATATCAGGCATCTCATTCCCGTTGTTCACTTTTCACATTGTCGCGATGTTCGGCGCGGGTGATTCCAGGTGGTGGAGCAGTACCGCGTGGCGGCGCGCAACGCGATTGACGCCGGGTTCGACGGCGTGGAGATTCACGGCGGGAACGGGTACCTGCTCGAGCAGTTCCTCAAGGTGAGACGATCGCACCTCGTTCTTATCTAGTTGTGCGACGAACGGTTTACTGTTTGTGCGAATCTGGAACTTCGGGATTACGGAGGCGAACGTGTACCTGCTGGAACAGTTCATCAAGGTGAGATGACGGCGGCTCATATTGGTGAATATGGAGAGCGTGGGCGATGGTGTCGATTTGTGCGAATCTGTAATATTTCGGGTTACCGCGGCGAACGGGTACATGCTGCTAAAGAAGTTCATCAAGGTGAGACGACTGCCGCATCGCGTTGAGACGACTTCCGCATCGCGGAAAGACGACTGCGGCTCGTTGCCGTGGCGCGGTTGTCAGTGTATTGCGGGGTTGGTGACTGGGGACTATCTAGAGTTCAGTAACTAGTTGGTGAGAGAATTTTATTGGATTCGTCATTAGCCTAAACTACTAGTATTTGTCTCTTGTTCTCGCACTAAAAGGTGGGATGAGTGGGGGGGGTATACATTTTAGGTAATCGTGGTAAGAAAAAAGCAATGCAGTTCATGGCATAAGCAACATGGATTTGTTCAGATTCGCTCCTTTCTCCTGAGTGCATGCATCACAAGTCTCTGGATGCGGCGCGGCTCACCCCATTACCCCCACTCTCTCAACAACCCTCCGCCATTTTTTTCCTCCCTCCCCCCCACTTCCGCCTCCCCGCTGCCCCACCGCCAGGACGGTATCAACAAGCGCGAGGACGAGTTCGGCGGCTCCCTGGAGAACAGGCTTCGCTTCCCCCTGCAGGTGGGTGCGGCCGCTGTGCCCTGCAGGTGGGTCTTGCTGCTATGACTTTAAGGGGGGTGATTGTGGTGTTCATTTACAGTCACTAGCAATGGGGATGAGTGAGTGCATAGTACCTTAGGACTAGTCTGCTGATCCCCTACATTTGTTGTTATTGGACAGGGTGAGGCCATTGTGGAATCTTGAAATCAGGCTCCTCTTTTATCCCTTCCCCTCCTCCCCACTCCTCCCCACTCCTCCCCCCTCCTCCCCGCCTCCTCCCCGACTCCTCCTTCCCCTTTTGTTCCGTCACCCGCTACTGCTTCCTCCCCATCCCCTGCTTCGCCTCCTTCCTTCTATCGTCCCCTCCTCCCTCCTTCTCCTAATCCCATATCCCCCTCCCCCCTTCCTCTTCCCCTCCACCCTCCCCCCCCCTCCCAGGTGATCAAGGCAGTGGCGGACGAGGTGGGCGCCAGCAAGGTGGGCGTGCGTCTGTCGCCGTACAGCACTTTCCTAGATGCTTCCGACTCGGACCCAGTGGCCACCTACCTGGGGTTGGTGGAGGCGGTGAACGGCATGGGGCTGGCATATGTGCACTTCGTGGAGGCGCGCGTGCAGGGGAATGTCGACCTGGAAGTTGTGGAGGAGGTGGGCGGTGTGTAGGGGATGAGAGGTGGGTAGGAAGTGTTGGGCTTTGAAAGAGATGGGAAAGCGGGCGGCTCGAGGGCTGCCTGCTTGGTATCCACCTGAACGGGTTTCATCGCCTTTTTGCGAGGACTTAATAATATTGCCGCTGCTTTCCACTCCTCTTCCTCTATCTGCAGACTCTGGAGCCATTCCGCAAGGCATTCAAGGGGCCCTTTATTGCTGCTGGCGGTTACAAGGTATGCTCCTGTGACTCATCTGCCTTGCTATGCAGGTCATTGAGAAGATTCTCTTTCCCCTCTTCTATCGTATCCCGCAGTGCAAGCTGCATGGCTTCTTTGACTCGTTATTGTTCGTTATTGTTGTCTCGATATTAGCTTACATCTTTTTCTGTTCATCTTGTCGATTCACTCTCTGCCCTGCCTGATTCGAATCCCCCCTGATCTCGCAAGCACACAATGCCTCCACTTCCTCCGCCCCATCATCTCATTGCTCTCCCTCTCCTTCCTCTCCAATCCCCCACTATTGTCCAAACTTCCAGCGGGAAACTGGCATGGAAGCCATTGAAAACGGGTCGGCAGATCTGATCACGTACGGCCGTCTCTTCCTCGCCAACCCCGACCTGCCGAAGCGCTTTGAGCTTAACGCACCACTCAACAAGTATGATCGCAACACCTTCTTCAGTGGGGATCAGGTCAAGGGGTACATTGACTACCCTTTCCTGGAGGAGCCTAAGAAGGCTGAATAGACGGGGAGAGGCTTGTCAGACATGGGGTGCGTTGGTATTTATGTGACTGTTTGAATGCCATTGTATGCTTGTGGCGCAAGGGAATGTATCCCTAAGCTAACTACTATTATTTCAACAAATGTATTAAATGTGGTTATTATCTTTATTAACTGTTTTCAACAAAAATTACATTTACTATATGTTACGAGTGCAATTGAGTGGACGAGCGAGAATTGCACTATCGAAGCAAAACAGTACATTGAGCGAAGGCATGAGCGAAGAATATAGAGCGAAGGCATGAGCGAAGAATATATAGCGAAACTAGCGTGGTAACGATAACGCGAGAAAATGGAGTGCGCTCCGGGCCTAGCGCCGAGGTTGGGTATTGTCGAGGCGGAGGACCGGAGCGCGGGTTACCAGCTGAACCGTGAGGTTGGGTCGCGCGGTGTACAGTGGCGGGAATGTCAGAAAAACAGGCAAGAATGATTGACTAGTATGGAAGAGTGAGTACAAGTACTAGGAATGGCGTAATGTGTTGTACTCCTTAGAATATGCCCCAATGCAATTTGACACACCCCCATAGGCAAAGTGGGGGATAGCAAACACAACGGACGGTCACAAGACCCGTCAAGCAAGAGAACAAAGCAAAGCAAAGCTCAGGGTAGATCTCAAGATCACCACGCATTCTGAGCACAAGCAAGCGGCCACAATGACAGTTCACATGCAGAGTTATAAAAGCACAGGCAGTACAGTGATCACAACCTAGCAAGAACAAACATGCAGGTATATATATATATATATAGATAACAGTACAAGACAAGTCAAGCAACCAGCAGGTGAGGCAGAGTAGGCAAAAGGATTAGAGCAGTGCAGAAACGCTGATGATCACCAGACCCAAAAGCCTTGGTGAAGACATCAGCAGTGTTGGCCCGAGAGGCCACGTAAGCAAGGCGCAGCTGACCGCGCTGCTGCAGCTCCCGAGCAAGAAAGTAACGAAGAGCAATGTGCTTCGTTCTGTGCTCCAGTCTCTGTTCCTGACACAAGGCAATCATGGCCTTGTTGTCGACGTACAGAACTGGAGGAGATCGAGGCCGCTCACCCAAGTCGGCCAGCAGGTAGGTCAGCCAGCGTAACCCCTGTGCAGCCATAGCCCCAGCATAGATCTCGGGCTCACAGCTGGAACCGCGCACAGAGGACGAACGAGTGGACTTGCACGAGACAGAACCGGAGCCGAGACTGAAAGAGTAACCCTGTGACGACCGCTGAGTCGCCTGGTCGTCGACCCAAGAAGCGTCGGAGTGTCCTGTGAGTACCACTGGACCCCGTCCTCCAAGCACGATGTACTGCACAAGTAACGCAGTACCCTCTGCGCAAATGTCCAGTGCTCCTTCCTGTGTCTCCCTGGGGCGACGAAGCGAGCAAGGATGCTGAGAGGGTACGCGAGGTCAGGTCGTGTGCACGTCATCAGGTATATGAGGCAGCCCACAAGCTCTGGATACGGGCCACTCGGCTCTACAGACTCGTCCGAAGGTGGAGCTGAGAGCGCGTGACCTGCAGGCAGAGGAGTGGACTGTGGCGAGGAGAACCGAAAGTGGAAGCGCTGAAGGACCTGGTGCACCATGTGCGACTGAGTCAGAGTGATGGTGCTCCGTGCTCTGTCCCGGGTGATCTGCAAGCCAAGATAGCTACGCAGCTCACCCAGGTCAGTGCAAGTATGTCTCTTCTGCAGCTCCGCCTTCACAAGGGTCAGCGCCTCAGTGTCAGCAGTAGCAAAGACCAAGTCGTCGACGTACACGAGGATGTAGAACGGCGGCAGAGAAGGATCGGTGCGCAGAAACAGCGACGGGTCAGCAGTGGAAGGAGCAAACCCAAGAGCCGCAAGTGTCGTCTTCAGTGTGTCGTGCCACTCGCGGGGCGCCTGTGTCAAACTTATATGACATAGTCTGTGTAGGCTGTAGTGGGGTAGTCAATATGGGGTACAACACTTTTAGGTTTTCCTACTTGTGCCTACCTGCTTGCTAATTCAATCATTCATCGTTCTATTCTTCACATGGTTTCAGAGCAGGTTCCCTAGTGGGAACGATTTTTTAAGGGCCCACCACGATTTTTTTTCTGCCCTGCCCGAAGCGCGCTGCCGCGCCTGCCTGCCCTGTCGCGCGCCTCGCGCCTGCCTCACCTGCGCTCTTGCGCCTGCCCAGCTGTACGCCGTCGAGCGCCTGCCCTACTCGCGCCATCGAGCGCCTGCCCTTACTGCAGCCGCCGGCGCGCGCTTGCCTTTTCCGCCGTCGAGCGCCTGCCCTACCTGCCGCCCGTCGAGCGCCTGCCCTGCCGTCGCGGCCCTGCCGTCGAGCGCCTGCCCTGCCGTCGAGCGCCTGCAGCCGCCGTCGCCGCCGTCGCGCCGTCGCGGCCCTGCCCTACGCGCGCGTCGTGCGCCTACCCTGTCGCCGCCCGTCGAGCGCCGGCCCTACCCGCCCGTCGCGCGCCTGCAGCCGCCCGTCAAGCGCCTGCCCTGCCGTCGCTCGTCGAGCGCCTGACCTACCCGCGCCTGTTGCGCGCCTGCCCTACCCGCCGCCGGTGGCGCCTGACCTACCCGCCCCTGGTGAGCACCTACCCTACCCACGCTACCCACGCACCTGCCTGCCTGCCTAGCCGCGCCGCCCAGCCGATCCGCGCCGCCCAGCCGAACCGCGCCGCCCAGCCGAGCCGCGCCGCCCAGCCGAGCCGCGCCGCCCAGCCGAGCCGCGCTGCTCTACTGAGCCGCGCTGCCCTGCCCGCGCTGCTCCTGCTGCTACTGCTGCTTCTGCTGCTACTGCTGCTACTGCTGCCACTGCTGCTACTGCCGCCATGGCCAGCCCTACTGTTCTTACCTTCGATGCTGAGGGTCGTGCAGTTGACTTCGATGTTTGGGTAGACGATTGTCGCGATATATATTTTATATATGTTTATAACTGCCTGTAGTTTTAGCTTTAGTGTAGTTCTGTTTCCTTGCATTTGGTGGTGCACCTTTTGCATGCTTGTCTTGCATATTTGTACCTGCCGAACTATAGTGAAACTAACTTGTTTGGTGAATGCTCTCGACCCTCCCTTGGCACGCTCCGCTCGTCACCCGCTTGGCCTAGGCTTCTAAGCCTAGGCCCTTAGTTAAACCCGGCGCCTAGTTAAGTTCGCTTCGTAACATGGTATAGAGCTAGGTCCGATTTAGGACCGTTCGTTTTACATGGGCCCACCACTAGCCCTCGTCGTGGCGCATCCCACCGCGCAGCCCGTAGTGCGCACCGTTGCAGCTCTTCCTTCAGTGCGACTCTAAGAATGGAGTCTCACTTTTCGATCTCACGTCCGGCGCCTCTGCTGCACCTGCTGCCACTGCTGACAGTACGGTTCGCTCGCTGTGGACTACTCGTGACGCTATTGCTCGCCTTGCTGTTTGTAGTCACCTGCCGTCTGCTGAGCACGCGCACTTTGGCCAGTACAAGACTGCTAAGTCTTTGTATGACGCTGTTGTAGTGCGCTACTCCTCCCCTGCCACTGCTACCCTCAGTCGCCTCATGCTTCCGTACCTGTTCCCTGACCTGGCCGCCTTTGCCACAGTCGCTGACCTCATTACTCACCTCCGCACTAGTGACGCCCGCTACCGCGCTGCGCTTCCCTCCGAGTTCTGCCCCAAGAACCCCCCCCCCATGTACATCACCCTCTTCTACCTAGTCACTCGTCTCCCTGACTCCCTTTGCTCAGTCAAGGACCACTGTCTCTCCTTTTGCCCCACCGAGCTCACCGTCGACCTGCTAGAGGAGCGCCTCACTGCAGCTGAGAAGAGTATAGTTGCTGTAGGTGCTTCTCGCGACGACCCTCGCGCCCCTTTCTTTGAGGGGTGTTCCCCTGTTCCCCTTTTGCCCTCTGTTGCCTCTGCTGCTGCTGTCGACCTCGTTGGCACCGAGGAGGTCGGGGCTGTGTCTGCTTCTAGTGGGAAGCGCCGCAACGGCAAGGGCAAGGGGGGCAAGGGTGGTGGAGGGGACGGCGGGGGCGGCGGTGGTGGCGGTGGAGGAGGAGGAGGGGGTGGGGGTGGAGGCAAGGGTGGTGGCGGGAGTGGGGGCGTCGGTGGCGGCGGGGGAGGTGGTGGAGGCAGCGGCAGCGGTGGTGGAGGTAGTAGCAGCGGCGGTGGAGGTGGCGGCGGCGGTGGTGCTGGTCGGGATGGAGCCGCGCAGCGTGGAGGCGTTGGCGGTAGCCACCGCCAGCAGCAGCCGCTTTCCCGTGAGACCCCGTCGCCCCAGAAGCTTCGTGAGTGGTACGCTGGGCGTGGGAGGTCTGGGGGTGCTGGTCCCTGCACTTACGTTCTCCGCACCGGCGGGCGCCGTGGGGATACGTGCGGCCTGCCACACACGCCACAGCGCTGTTTCGGTCGCCTGTCTGACGCCTCGCGCGCACAGTTTCGTGCCGCCACTGAGCTGCCTAGCTGGGCTGATCTGCTTAGGCAGAATGTTGACATCTTTGCTCTTGACTTTGATGCTATCCTTGCTGCCATGTATGCTGTGTCTATTAGTGCTGAGGGTGACTGTTACCTGTGTGTGCCGCCTGACCCAGGTATAGAGTCTGCTGCTCTAGGTGCTGGTGAGGCTGCTGCTCTAGGTGCTAGTGAGTCTGCTGCTCCAGGTGCTGGTGAGTCTGCTCTCTCTAGTACTGCGCCTGCCGAGGCCTTGCACACCTTCACACTTGACTCCGGTGCTTCCCGCTCGTTCTTTCACGACAGCACCACACTCACGCCGCTCAGTCGACCGGTTGCAGTCTCCCTGGCGGACCCCTCTGGGGGCCCAGTCCTTGCGCACTCCTCCACGGTCTTGCCGTGTCCGGCGGTCCCGTCTAGCTCTGTGTCGGGTCTTCACCTCCCCTCGTTCTCTACGAACTTGGTGAGTGGATCTGACCTCCAGGATGTGTGGGTTGACCAGTGCACTCCTGGAGGTCAGCGTGTGACCCACTGTACGTGCTCTCGGACTGGTCGGCACCTGGCCACGTTCACCCGAGTGTCA